AGTCAAATTTTATATTGGATTGTTTTACATTCACTGGAAAATCGGTGATGGAGGACATCCAACTTAAGGAGAATGATCATTAGTTCATTTATTAAACTTAAGAGCTAAGGCCCCATTGTGTGTGTGTGTGTGGTTGAACAGGATTTACAGAAGTCTTTACAGAACTACACTGGGGCATCTTACATGAATTCAGATGACCAAACAGGTACCCCAATACCTAAGCAATGCGTCTTTAGCTTAGGTCAAAGCATGTATAGCCACATTCAATCCAAAATCTGTGCATACTAATCGTGCTGGTGTAAAAAAATACCCTATTATTTTCTCACCTATGTGTCTCCCTAAAAGATCAAAACCACAAGTCAAACTTCAGTGTGTTGCTATCTGGCCCATTTCCTTTGAGATGTGGAATGCAGTTAAACAGATAATAGTAAATACACATGAAATCAGCCACAAAATTAAAAGTACTAACAGGGGGAGTGAATAACGTGGATCATCTTGTTACAATGCAGTTTTCTTTAATAATGTTGGCGCTACTTTGTTACATACCACCCATCAAAACATTGTTGAAGAACCAGCGACATCCCTGGGCAGGACAGTGCGCTCTGCCAAACCACAAAAACTACTCAGAAACAGCTCGAGGAGCACGACAAAGAGTCCAAGCCAGCCTCCGTGGATCAGCCTTAAACCAGCCCGATCCACGGAGACGTCACCCCATAACCCACAGGACAAAATGGATCTGTTACCAATATCACAGAGCTTGATACCATAGGACACTGCCAAAGTTCCCTTGTGCAAGCTCTGATAAGTCAGAGTTGTTTTTGTGGCGCAAAGGAGACCTGTGCAATATTAGGGTTTTAATGTTGTGGCCGATAATTGTTTATTCCATTAAAGCAAGACTATGCTGCTTTTGCTAAATAGCGTTCACTATTGCCACAGTTAAGGCATAATGGTACATATTAAAGCATAGTGTAGCATTTTTGTATTAATTCTATTCCTCAAAAGCATATTCACTTCAGACACAAAGATTTTTGGACTCCATGTTGTCTGCGTGTAGATGTATGGTAAAACAAACTACCAGAAATAGATCTTTTTAGATGGTCACACTTTCTTAGGCGGCCAGACAAGCCTTGGAGCATCACCCTCTTGGTAAATCAGATGACTTAATCCACAAGGACATTTAAACCCTACAGGCCTTTCCTCCTTTGTCTACTTCACTCTAGCTTCCTCCCCTCACCCTTTCTTCCCCGTCTCGTCATCCCCCTTTTCCACCTTTTGCTGCGATAGTTAAAACTACTTTCCGCAGAGTGAGAGTACAGCATTAAGAAGCGCTTACGACTGTCCTTTAAGGTTAACAAAAGTTTCAGTAAGCATTCTAAAGAAGTCACTTTCAGTGAGCAATCAGGCTTGGGGCGAGCATAAATCCTCTGGGTATAGTCGCAGCATTACAAATACCCGCAGCGCCTGTATGTGCTGATGACTACAAAATTGAAAAAGAAAGGCCCTAATAATTCTGAGGCAAGTTTCCCTCAGCAGTGTGTATTGATTATTTGTGTGTGGTGAGAGATTTGGAAAATTCAATTAAAGGAGTTGTGCAAAGGATTCATAAATTCAGCCCCTCCAACCCGTATCGAGACATGGTTATGTTCTAAATCAATGCTGCACTTCACAATATATTTTCTTAGGAACATAAAAATAAATAACATTTAAACAGTTCTGCTTACTACAGAAACAAATTTTATTTTCTCTGAAGATTTTTAGAAACGGCCAGGTACTGACTTGTGCACATCTTCGGAGTGGTAACATATTTTTATTGCACTTTCTCCCATAAGGAAATCCTATATAATATGAATTTTGAGATGACAAAATGAGGGGAAAGGGTACAGCTCAGCAGTGTAAAAATTGATCAGGCCATAGATGGGGCCACGTTAGGGAAGATTTGTATGTCAGCAGTAATGGGCTGTATTAAAAAGATTCCTTAAGATGTCATAAAAGTGATGGGACTGTGTCGCAGGTCGTGGGCTGCCGGCCCAGGCAGCTCCCGGACTCTGGCACATCAATCGTAGGAAGGCTCATGGACAGATGCCACCTACCCACCGGGAGTTTTATGCTTTCTGTTTGAACACATGGTTGCAATTAAAGCGGAGAGTTGTATATTAGATGGTTTTGGTCCAAGTGAAGCCGGTGGCCTTCGATCGACACTTTAGATTGCAGAGTATGCAGTCTTTTTAGATGTAATTTCTGATTCAGTAAATGTCCTTGCATTTTATCTTACGTGGCAAAAAATGTAAATGCTCGTGTCTTAATGTGGCAAGCAAATAAGTCTTTTTTTGTGGAAAAAATACAGTTACGGGTTGGATTATAAAGTAATTGGCATCATTAAAAGGTATAGTTTTTAAGGGATGGAATGTATTTCTTGAGATTGCTGGTCTTTGCATCTTCTTTTGCACATCTCTCTGCCACTTGTGTTGCCTTCATTACAACCCTGATCACTGCAAAGCCAGCATTTTATCATTTCTCTTTTCCTCCTCCTCCTCCTCCAACTTTCTGAAACCAATTGTGAGCTGAGGCACAGTCATCCTCTTCAACCCTAATTTTGAATGAACTGTATAAAAGTGACAGAAACCCTCTGCTCTATGTACATTATCATCTGTTAACAGCTAGCATTGGTTTATGCAAAATGTGCCTCCTGTTAACGCTCTTCTTCGTGAACATTCAATCTTGACAGTGACTGCGGTGTGTGTAATATCACTGGGTGCCAGAGGGGTTACAATCATGTTTTCCTCTCCCATATTCCCCAGGTTTTTGTTAGCGAGGCATCTCGGCTGTTGACAGCTAATGGAATTGCTCTTCACCTCTTGTGCGTATGATCCCGCGGAGATAAGGCAGGAGATGAATGTGGAATCTGCGCTGTCAGTTGTGAGGCCGAGCTGTCTTGGAGGACGTCATTCACTTGCGGAAGAAGCGTCTGAAACGGTAAGAGCGAATCCTCTGACATGTCAGACCCCGTCTCTGTGCCGGAGCCTCTGTCTGGCAGCTGACAAATGTTGATTCTACATTAACCACAATGCTGCAACGCTGTGCAAATAATGTTCTTTCAGATGGCAACCCTCATCCCCTTTATGGCGAAAACTATGCAATCCTCCCCACCTGTGCAGTTTAACACCTTTTGAAAAGTAAATGTGGGGGGGGGCAAACTGTCTTACACAACACAGTAGTCTCTTTATTTGGCAGCGCCTGGGAAGGCCGAGGCCTCTCGCTGCCCGAGTCGACCTAAGCAACAGCTGGTGTTCACAGCAACATTTCCTATTTCTGCCTAAGGTGGATCGTGTAACTCTCACTTTATCACCCTTAGAGGCCATGTGAAGGACAAAGCCAGCACATCCATAAACAAAACTAATGTTTTGATACAGGCCACTTTGGAGATTGATAGAAGGATCCGAGGTGCTTTGAATACTCCCTCAGCACCCCTGACCGTCACAAATAATCTTATACCGGTACAGATTAGGATCATGAAGGCAGGGAATATAAAACTGTGAGCTCTTCTGATATATGCAAGACATATGGTAATCCAGACGAAAGATGTCTCAATAGCACAAATTTTTTGCGTAGAGGAAACAATATTTACTAATTGCACGTCTTTCAGTCGCCCAAACGTCAGAGTCATAGTAACCAGATATAAAGCATCCTGGATAGCGATTCAGCAGCTAGGTGGTGACAGAGGCTTTATTTTTACCATGACTTAAAACTGAAACACACAGGCTGTTGTGTACTTATTGAACTTTTTAATTTCTTAAGAGCACATAAACTTGATGCCCTATCACAGACGGCACTTATTAAATGTGACATTTAAAGGCGACTTTGAAACTACAAACCAGGCACACAAGACCGTTTGTTGCTGCAGTGAGGATTTGTTTTTTATGATTACCGTCTGTGACTGGGAATATGACACATAATGCACTGTTTTGTTTGTCTGGTTTTGTATCGTTTTTATGACTGGATGTATACAATATATTTCATTTTAAAACTACATCCAGCACTGATTTGCATGATGACTTGCAGCTGCTTTTTTGTCAAAGTAGTGAAAATGTCGACCTTAAATTCAGATGATCCCCTCTTCAAATCACCTGTTTTGTCCCTCTAACGGACCAAAAAACACAACAATATTAGTATCACGATAATTCTCAAATTTAAAAGGCTCAATAATCGATTATCAAAAATTGTGTCTTGTGCTTACAAAGCAATCTAACGCTACAAGTTCAAGTAAGCGGCTGATCTGCAGTTTTTTATTAGTTAGTTTTTACTAATAAATTATACCAGAAATTATTTGTTTACTTGTGTTATATGACTTAGTCCCGTTGGAAAAGTAAATTCTTACTTTCCTTCGCACCTTTTCAGATGAACTGTCACGATGTGTAATAAACGTGTATAATAGAAGAGCAAGCCAACGCCTTTCACACAACCTCTAATTGGCCCCTTGTGTTCACGTCCATTGTGTTAAGCGTTAACTCAGATCTTGGGCTCCTATTTGTCCCTTCAGCCCATTACTGGCCGCCGGCCCGGAGCCTCAGATGCACAGGAAACCCTCGCTGACCTGATAACATTTATAGTTGTAATGGATTTTTTTATGCCTGTCATTAACTCGCAGAGAGATTGGAGAAAGAAATTGCTTGTACCTTTTTTCTGTGGTATTTCAACTTTATAGCATTATGTTCAGATATGTCACCTTCCATCATCTATTTTTAAGGCCTCTCGCGTCACTGGTTTTGTTTTAAATGTACAGGTCTTTTGTGCTGGACCCTTGTAGTATCAAGGACTTATAATGAATATTTAATGATGTTGAGTAAAAGCTTGGAAAGATATAATTTCTGTCCAATTATTGGCTCTGTCTCTGCCAGACCTTTAGGGGTGATTTAGCAAACTGCTTGGTTAATGTAGACAGTTTATATGAAGCTGCTTTGAATCAGATCATTTAACAATGTGGCAATAAAACGGATGTTCACTTTAGGACGTAGAGAAATTTGATTTATTTTCACAAAAAACTAAGTTTGTACAAAATAACTTTAATGATGGGTACAAATGTACAGTAGAAAACTGTAAAAAAAAAAAAAAAAAAAAAGCGTTCACATGAATACAAAATGATCAACACTGCAAGACCTGAGTAAAGTCTATCAGGCGTGTGTTTAATCAGAATCCCCTGAGGACATACAGGGGGTGGACAAAATAACAGGAACACCTTAGAATGTGATTAAACCCAGCACCGACATGACTTTTACCACAAAATTAAATCAACATCTCTCTGGTCCCAACAATAACTAAACATTACACCAGGTGTTCTTATTATTGTGGCCACCTCCTGTAGATTGAGCATACAGGCACAGGGCTATCTATACTCAGATACTGAGGCTGCACAATGCGCGTGTGTACCTGGACGATAAGCCTGCAGGTTGTGTATCAATGGTCTAGGCGAATACAATTCAAAAAGGCAGGGTTGTTTTGCATGATTTTAGCCATATTTAGTGAAGCTAAATGGAATGACTGAGCTTTTGTTACAGGGAATATGTATCTTGGTGCTGCACAAAAGCAGTTAAACTGGAAAAATACTAGAACCGTTTCCTTTCATTTGATATCAGAACTCCTCTAAAGTGTATAGTACAGTCATTTTCTAACCAACAGGACACCTCATAAGCATTTGTGCTGCTTTGTATTTGGTACGTAACAGCATGTGTGAAAGGCTCTTGCACATTAAGAGCAGATATACCTCAGAGTGTAACATTGGCACAAGTTAGTTATTCTTCTTCTGGCTCTTTCTGCTGGGTGGCCCGCTAAACTGGACAACGTGGAAATAAACAAACGTTCCAAAGAAGTGCAGGAACGCAGCCATAGACAGCATGACAGGGAACAAGTCAGGTAGATGTGGTGGAGGGACCAGTGCGACGCTGACGATGCTCAAGCCAGCCATGACAGCGACGCTGATGTAGAACTGTAACAGATAAAGACAGTGAGATTGTTGGTTAATTGAAAAGAGACATAACATCATGTTAAATGTTTTTCATATAAATGATTGGGCTGAGGAAAAATAGGTGCTGCTTTAGAGACAGATGAATATTGACCTATTGGCCAAACAAAATTATCTCAACTCAAGGTCTACTGAGGAGCTGGAACTTTCAACCATATCTCACAGTCTTCGTTAGCAGCTTAGCAGTTGTCATCATGTGACCTTATATGGATTCAACCCCTAAAAACTTGTGTACCAAAAATACATGTTTAGAAGTTTTTCCATGGCAATAATACCTTCAAACTTTAAAATGGCCTTGTCTTTCTCCACCCATCCCTCCCTACGCACTGCAGCTCAGCACACCAGCTCACCTATGATTCTGCTTAGACACTGTAAAACTACTCTACGCTGCACAATGGTAAGTTACAATATTTAAATAATTCAGTTCCACCCTGCAAGTTGACAGGATTGATTCCGCAGCTTTGTTACGTATGAAACCGCAGAAGTCTGAATTTGTGTTTTTGAAACTGTCATCAGCACAACACAGTTTGAAGGTGAAAATGCTAAGCCATGGTATTGACTGGTTATTTTACTCATGATGTGTCTTCTGGCGTATAAAAATCACCATGGACATATTAGCAAGGTTAAAAATCAGATTTTCACCAGAGGGTCTTTAACATGATTGAAACCTCTGGAAAAAGCTAGCGGACCTTTGGTTAAGATTATTTTTCGAAACTACTATTCTTGCGCTTTCTTGGTCAGTGTAATTGGTGTTTAACTTCACTGTCATAGAAAATTCTGTAGTATTCGAGTTTTACATAGCTGGATGTCATCGTACCGTTTTACTTTGAAAAACCTGAGCGCCCCGATAGAGGATGACTGATAAGCTGCTCTTAACAAAAGAGACCAATAATGGGGCTTTATGAAGACGACCCTTTGCCAAAGTGATTTTATCGATAATTAAATTTATATTTTGTATCCCAAACTTCTCCAAGTGAAACAATAAAAAAGGCTGGGCACCTCGGGCTGTAAACAAACTGTTGGCTTTTGCCTTCATTTTAATTGCAACCATTATATGAAACTAATGAATAATTTAATTTAAAATCTAATCACTCTGAGTATTTATCACTGAATGATAGACATCAAATTGGTTATTTGAGCGGTGCTATAAAGAAAAGACTGAGGCTTGTAATATCACATTACAGCTGATTTTAATCGTTAGGCCTATGTAACCACTTTTTATCTTGTTGCAGAGTTACAGACGGACATGATGGGCAGACTAAGATCATTCACGTATCTATTCGGGCTTTATGACCCAGGGAGAAGTCTGTGAGTAAGATGGAGGAAACACCTCATGCCCACAGCCGCCCCGCCACCCAAAACCCATGAAACCTTATCGCCATCATCGGGGCTCGCTATTTATGCTGCTTGTGTAAATAAATATATCTAGGCAAACCTGTGTTAATGACATGCGCTATAAAAAGACACCTTCTCTTAATCTCTGACACCCTACCGGTGCCCCTGTCGCTAAGGGGCTGGCGGTGAAGCCACTTCAGACGCTGTGGAAACTTAAATAAGTGATAAATAATTCTTTGGCTGGCAGCAGCGTTCATCCCCGGACAGCTTACACAGCTTACAGCAGCACATGATATTTATTTATACAGTTGGGTATATCTTCTCACACGCTTGCAATTTAGGTCTAGTGCCACTTTCAAAATACAGGCCACCTGGGATCGTGAAATCAGCACCCTTCTTATTACAAATGCATCAGCTGGACATCCTCCTCCTTCCTCCCCCCGCCGGGAACAGACACAAACTTTATTTAATCAAGCAGCAATAACTTTGTTTTGTTTATTTTTAGTTCCCAAGCATTTCCCTTACTTGAAGCAAATCGACAACATAGAAGAGACCATATTTTAAACTTAAACAAACAAGATATACACAGGGGTTTCAAAGTATTTTTATCTGCTCTATGTAAAGTATTGCAATCACTATTTGTGGTAAAGGTCGAAGGTAATCGTTATGACCTTATTACTAACTTTTATTAGCAACCAACTGCAACCATAATGATAGACGTTACCTCCACCTATATACATTTCTGGAACAGCACCACAAACCGTGAAATCAGAGTCATATTTACAAACTCACTGCTACAAACTCACAGAGTAAAATAATAGGTGGAATTAATTCTTTGTATTGTTTTTTTTGTTTGTTTGTTTGTTTTTTTTATTCTATTTGCTTTAATGGATCGTATTTTAAGTGACTCATGCATTAAAGCGAATAGTAACTAGGGCGAGTCCTCCCCAAGCAGGAAAATGCACCTTGCCACACTGCAAAAACTGCTCAGGGAACGGCTCGAGGAGCACAACCAATAACCCAAGGCGGTGACCCGACCTCCAAACTGCCCAGTTCCCAATCTAATTAAGCATCAACGGCATGCGCTGGATGAAGCCCAGTACCCAGAGGCCCCGCCCTGCAACCCACAAGACCTAAAGGATCAACTGCCAACATCCCAGTGCCAGACACCACGGGACATCCCCAGAGGTCCCAGAGAGGTACACAATATTAAGCAGGTGGTTTTAATTTCGTGGCAGATCTGTGTATATAATGAATATATTTCTAAGGGCATGCTTACATCTATCCATCCATTATCTATACACCGCTTTATCCTCCATAGGGCAGCTGACTTAGGGCGATGGCAAGATTCACCCTGGACTGGACAAGTCGCCAGCCTATCACAGGGCGTCATGTTTAAGTGTATTGACAGATTATGTAGTCCAAAGTGTATAAAAGTGGAGTTACTTCACAACCAAACAGCCTAGTTTTAATATTGCACGCATATATTTCTGTTTGACCCGCAAATCAGTCGATACTGGGAGCTACATTGTTCGTTATTACAGCAGCACGCGGGCCACACTGACCTTCCATCTCACTATACGAGCCAGGTCCATTCTGGGTAGACAGAAAAACAGCTTGTTGTAGGCTCCCAGTCTCAGCTCGTCCTCTGAGCAGTGATCCAGTGCAGACAATAGATAGATACTGAGGAAGAGGAAGGCCAAGGAGGTCACAGCGTAGGGCACCAGCAGGCCGTCCTTCAGAAACAGAGGCAGCATGCTGCACAGAGACAAACACAATGGTGCATTTACAGTTAAGAATTCAGCTGGGTTTTTTTCTTGTTTTTTTTTTTTTAGCTTGTGTATTTTGCCTGGAGTAATGCAGAATAGTGCCAAACAGAGCGATAATCAAGTAAAGACGTAGCCATCATAGTATTATGTTCGCTTTTTATGTACAACATTCAGTTGGAAGTTTGTAACAACATTAACTGACTTTGTATACAGAGGGCATACTGAAAAGAAATAAACTCCATCCATCTCCACATATGATAGGCAGTAAACATATAATACAAGTTCACACGTGTCCAACAGTAGATCATTAAGTTCAGTGTCATGTTTGTTGAGAGAAGGGCGATAGTAAATCACACTGCTTTTATCCTGCAGGCCTGTACGAGCAGGCTGTCTCCCTGGGGAGAGATGGCTCTGACATTCACGCAGAGCTTATCTTAGTTTAGCAAAGGGGCATGGGCAAGAACAACAGTTGACTCATAGTAAATCGCACATCACCCCAGCTTATAAAAACCGCCCGCTCACAACAAACTGCTCATTCACTTTTTTTTACTCAAAAAAAAAAGACCCATTCAGCAGATAAATGCTAAACATTTTAGAAATACATACTTCCTCGATTTAAACAGACTAGCTGCATTCAGTCCTCTTAAAATGGCCGTGCTTGAGCATTCATTCGGCCAATTATGCTAACAAAAGATGTATTTTTTTTTAAATGACAGAGTCCGTAGAGGATGCAGATAATGCCAAAGTCTGTGGCAGACTGTACTGGGAAGCAGCTACAGAATGACCTCCTGTCCCTACACAACACACTTAGACAGCAGGCATGCAGACTATGCCTTGTAATCCCCAGATATCCTTATACTAAACCACACGCACAACAATTAGTGCTGCCGGAAGAATTTAACAACAGCTGGTGAAAGTTAGATGGAGCATTTGCAGCACTACTTGTCTTTTCCATTCATGGTGCTCAGCTCAACCCACAGTGCATATCATTTAGCTTTTTAGGATTATTCCTACGGCATTTCTCATTTAACTGACTGTTACAAGGCACAGTAAACGCTGGGAGAAATATAGAGAGGTGACATGTGACAGTGGAACGCTTTATTTATTTGCAAGCTTAGCCACCAGGACATCCCACAGAGCTATCTTTTTCCTAAATTGAGACTTCACTACTTATGCTGAGGACTGTGGCCACAAGTGACCCTTAGAGAAGAGTCATAAAGACTCTGTATGTCAGTTATAAAGCCATGCTGTAGTTAATTTTGTTACCATTTGCTGCAATAAGTGACTGTTCATAGACCATGTAAGGCAACAGTGGCAAAAGCTGTGTCCTGAAATGACAAGTGATGCATTTAATTGTTTATGAATGCATGATATGCAGTTGTAAGAGGAAAATTGTGTCATTTTTTTATTTCAACAGTTAAAAAGTCTTGTGTTTAAAAGAACCCTTCTAGCAAAAAACAGGGTTTTTACATTGTTAACATGTCCATATGGCGTTTTATATGCTAGAACACATGAGTGGAATGAGCAGTCAAAGCCATGGCTGAACTTTTCTTGAAGATGCAGTGTATCGAAGACTGTCTCAAAAACAGGATTTCACACAGACAGGGTTTAATACACGACAAACCTAAGAAACCAATCCTGTCGGCTTGCACAATGGGGCTTTCTGTATCGTTACGCTTCTTCAGTTTCTGGTTGGTATGTATGTATGGTTGAATTATTCCAATATTACAAGCTGCCATTGTGTAGCATGGTGTGCAGCGTTTGAGTAAAGTTGTAGGTGAGCTGGTGTGCTCGAGCTGTAGCAAGTGCGAAGGGGTTGTTTGTAGATAGAGTGATAGACTTCATCTGCACTGGTGTGGAGTTACATTTTAACTTTTAAGGCGGAAAGATTGTTTAATGGAAACAAAACTCTAAAAATGTAACTTTAAGACTGAGAAATGAGCTTTTCTGGGTTAAATCAATGACTGGAACGGCACCTCAACTGCAACATTTTTGGCACTCCAGCCCAAAGAGTACATGTAGTGATAAAAGATCTTAAGTGCAGCACTTGTTCAAGAACATTCCTCTCTTTATAACTAAAATAACTTTCAAATCACAGCAAAGTCTAAAAACATCTCTACCAATGCCTCATATTAGAAGTTAGGACTAAGATTGGCAGTGCACTTCTTCTTTGCATGACAACAGCACAAAATGTTTTCATGAGAATAGATCTCACACAAAAATTAGGTTCTGCGATGAAAAGCTATTAAGGCCTCTGTCATAGGCAACAATAAAAACAGATATCAAGCTTTTATTCCTCAACCTTTCATGTTTGGTCAGTGATTAAGTCTAGTCTTTCCTTCTTACCTAAATGTCGAGGCCTGCAGGAACCAAATGGCCACCAAGGGGAGGTCATTGAGCAGGAGGCAGGCAGGTCTAGAAAAGAACAAAGTTGGATATAGTCATTAATAAACACACTCTGCAGTGACTAACATTATGCCTTATTTTACATTAAGAGAATAAGCGAAGCCATGTTAGGTCAGAGCTGGATGTGAACCGATATCATGCATGTACAGTATTTAAGCTACTCATCCGATGGGACATCCGCATAAATCGATTATTGGCAGTTACTCACAAGGCAGTCAGCATTTTATGTTGGTGTACACCTTTTATTGAGACAACACTGGCGTGTATGATACTATAAAACTTAGAATCATTGTTGAAAATCTACATACACTTGCATATGTTTTGCCAAGAAGTTCTAAGTTTATGACTACATACCTCATATGTATGCGTCTGTGTGCATCTGTGTATAGAAAGCCTTATTGTTAATTGAACCTGGTCGCCTGCACCAGTGCTGGTTGTACACTCTGCTCCGAGGGGGGCACTTTCCATCGGTCCCTGAGCCCATAATTACAGTCAGTGCTCTTTGGCGATCCTGTTACAGCCCAATAATTGATCCTGCGCAAACAACACCCCGAGCTGCCGCCTGCCATTCTTTCCTAATCCCTGGACATGCATTACTGATTGATTCAGGGGGACAGGTGGGAGATATAACTCAATAGTTAATAAAGCAACAATCTACCCTAATCTAGATTAATAGATGAGCCCAGATCTAGGAACCAAATCCCTCGCTGTCAAATCTATCCCAGGCTTCAATCCTTACCTACAGCTTTCTACATATGGGGGTAAACGATAATGAGCCACACACACACACACACGCACGCACATAGTATTGTATTTACCCGGCTAAATGTGACCCAACTCAGACAAACATATCTTGACAATGGAAGCTGGGTTTGTGTCTGTGAGTGTGATGACAGAGGTGAGTAACCTCTCTGTTAGCAAGTCCGCACTTAGACAGAGGTGTCACTTTTGCACCTCCGGGAGTACAGCAGGAGGATGACGTCAGTTTTACAAAATGCATGTGTGTTCAAATCATTAATAATCTGCGAGACATACCCCGAGATTTGTGGTAGGGTTGAGGCGAACGGCTCCTCTGCGAGTAGAAATTAAATCTATACTCATGAATATTTCACATATCACTACAAGACAGAGAAAGCACCATTTACATTTGTCATCTGGCGAGACAAACCTCAAGAAGTTACAATTATCTCCTCTTGTACTTACAAGGCAGCCAACAGGATGGACTTTTCGTGGACTTGATAGGAGAAGAGGAAAAATGCCAGAGATGAATTGGCCTAAAAGTGACATTGAGGTTATGAGCTTCACTTTTAAAATCGGAAGGAAGGGAGAGTTAGTGTATGACATCATACATGTTCACACAAAAAAAATGTTTGAAATATTAAATTTGATGTCTGTTTGAATCTCTGTAACAGGAGCGGCAGTATTTGGCTCACTATTTTCATATCAGATGCTAGAAACACTCACCAGAGCCAGCTTAAAGTGCCAGAAGGTAGGTTTTGTCAGCAGTCTGAACGAGGAAGGTAGAACTGCCAGGAGAGTGCAGGCTAAACTGAAAAACAAAATGGGAGAGGATGTTAGTGCAGGGAAAAAATTATTACACAGCAGAAAGCGATAGAATCAGCTGTACATCGGAGGCAGTGTAATTTAATTCTATCTGCGTGTGATTGCAGTGGCACTAAATGATTTGATTTTGATGTCAAGTGGAGACAATCGATGTAATAAATCCTAATTCAACTGCGTCACTTCTTTTTAGACACTCACTGATCTGTAACTGTGTGGGAACTGACCAAATAATGGCCCCTTCTCAGGGTTACCAGGCATTAGTTTAACCCTTCAATTGTCACCTGCTAGGGGTGGAGGCACCGGAAGAGACCGACTATGTGTTAGAGTGAATGTGTCTTAATGTGCCGAGAGGTCGGGCGGCATTCAGTTCGAGGTGCAAGGACGACCGTGCTGCAAATCGTAGAAGTGACAGAGAGAAGTGAATCCAAGTAGATAAAGACAGATAGCCGGATAAAGGGACAGAAAGATAGATAGTTGTAATGAAGGACCAGTAAGTGGGTACTTAGTGTGTATGAAAGCGAGCGTGCCATGCGTGTGTTATGTGCAGGGCAGGGTTTTGCGGTCCGGAAGGACATGGATCACTTTTCACAGCTGATTCATTTTATGTACACAGTACACCCACACCAGAGCATTTAGCAATCCACTCCCTGCGCCAAAAAGACAAGAGTGTTTTTCATTTGTTTGAAATGCACTACAGTAAAAGAAGTCCAACTTGATCCCGGGACTTAGCAGTCTGGCAGAAACGTGTCCGTGCTGCGAACATAGGACTCCTAAATTTAGCGTGCTGGGTTATTTAAGCAGGCTCCACCATGACACAACTGTTGCATCAAGTTTTTTCTGACTGTGCGTGCACAGGACCTCGGCTTTTGGTCAAAATAACTTTTAATCTGTGTGGTTCTCTGTGGAGAATCTGAAATTTGTCTCTCAAACCCACGTTATAGTATTACGTCATCTCATAAAGCACATGATCCATAACATTTGGGAAAAAAAATTATTTTGCAGTCAAAGTGATTTATTCCGCTTTCATCTCTGTGTATACCACATCCTTTAGTATTCCTTAGGCAATCGTCTCGTCACGGCATTTTCTAAAAACAGCAGAGTTCATGGTCAGAAGTTCGTCATAAGATGTTTCAATCAGGGATGATCTGATTTCAGCCAACTCGATCGCAATCTGTATTCCCAAGGACAAGCTCGGCTTTCCCAGCAAATGAGAGGTGTAAAAAGAGTCCCCGGGGAGGGAGTGTTAAAAAAAAAAAAAGGATAAAATGACACAACAAAACAGAGAAGGAATGAATGAGCGAGAGGAGAATAACATGACAACAACAACATGACATTTGTTAAACAGACAGAGGGATTACCTGAGGTAGAGCTGAGAATCGCCCGACAGAATGGATCTGATCTTTATCAGGGTGTTGAGGCTGCACCATGTGTTGGCCACCTTATCCTGTAAACACACACACAGGCACACTTGTTTAAATGAGAAATTATATCAGAAGAAAACACAAAAAAGTACATTTAACATATGCCTTGAATCCCAGTTTGAAGAGACAGTAAATAAGTGGCATTGCTGTAGGTACTTATTTTTTGAAAGTGCAATAAAAATTCCTCGAAGGAATTCCAGAGGGACACTTCTATGTAACCCTTCGTCATAAATTCACTCCCCTGTCAGAAAAAGAATGAGACTTATTTGTAAACTTGGGGACATAAGGTCAGATGTCAGACCAGAGAAGTTTCCGCATAACCAGCAGATACAGACCAACCACAGAGCAAACTGACTCACAACAATACATGATGTCAATATGCTGGAATATTTCTCTTTATAATTAGAAAAAAATCTTTTATTTAAATTATAGTTCCTGAAAGCTGGGACTGCCACAAAAAATAGTTGTAAATATTGAATAATCTTAACATTGTTTGCAGATTAACTGCTTATTAAAAGTACCATCTTCAAATTACTTGTAATTTACAGTCAATACAGTTAATAATTCCATTAAAAATATTGTTTAAAACAAAAAAAAAGGAATGAAAAAAGCTACAAATCCTCCCATTTGGGAAGCTAAATACACAAAATGTTTGGTATTTTTGCTTAACTAAAATTACAAAAATGAGCAATGATAGATCAGTTATGGAAATAGTGAACATTTGAATAATTGCTCGAATGAAAACAGCACTTTTTAAAATAATTTTTGACTGTTTCAGCTCTATATCGTTTATCAAATAACCTAAAAAAAAATTAAGTTTTCAAGGTCTCAAGGTCTTTATTTATTGGTCACAAACACAGTTCTACATGGTATAACGTGCAGTGAAATGCACCTGTTCTACACTGAAACAATAACAATAAGATGATTAAGAATAAAGAACAAAACACACAAGAAATAAATAGAGATTTTTGAATATATGTATATATATTCTGAATATATGTTTAACATAATATATGTTTTTGAGGTCTGCACATGACATGAAAGATACATATGATGTATATGAGATATTACAACCTTAATACCAGCTGGAAAGTGCTTGTAGTTTCTAAGCGGCGGTCAGTTGTGGAGGGCGTTGTGTGTGTGATTCAGCTGATTTGAGTGCTGAAGCAGTTGCGTAGGGATCAAAGCCTTTGAAGCCAAAGCCACCAGTATGCATCATGATATCACACAGCCAGAGTCGGCACGTCTAGATCATCTTTATGATTCTGCTCTGGATGGATTTTAGTGTGTGACCCCCATCTAGAAAAACTATTTCTGGCCTCCTCTCTCTCCTTTCTGCGCTACAGCTGCTCAGTGCACAGCTGTGTGGATCTTAATGGCAGCCTAGTCAGCAGCACCGGGCCGTCCAGTGTTGTGTTATCTCAGCCCCATCCCTCTCTTTCCTCCCTGCTTCCCTTGCTCCAAATAACCACTACGGGAATGTTCCTGGACGCCGCCTGAAGGCAACACATGAATACATTGGGGAGGGGGGGGGTACCCATCGGCAAATGTAAGGGGGTGAGAGCGGCGTGGCTCCTTCACCTATAAGCTAGCATGGAATTTCACAGCGAGAAGCATTTGGTGCCATTTTTGTGAGCAGGCAGCAACGTGAGACGCCAGAATGCAGCTCAGTGGGTAAACTTACAACTGCTCCCTCCCAGTAGCCGCCGGGACCACCAGTCACCGGCCCTCGTCTTCCCCACCACCCCCTCTCACCCCTGTCTCCTTGTCCAAAGTGTCTGCTTACGTGCACAATTTCACAATTAGTTCGAGACCACTCAGCCCGGCAGCCCCTCATGCTGTCGTCTCACGGGAGTATAGTGTCTCTCACACCCTGTGTATTATGTTTGAATCATTTCGTTGAACAAATACTGCACGCTGCCGCCCGCTCCCCTGGCAGAATTTTCAATTACTTCTCACATCCATGACACCTTGTGGTGGGTGCCACGTCAGGGACGGGGATGAAAGAGGGGAAGGGGGAGGGTTATGGGGTTTTCGAAACGAGAGCTGCAAAGCTTGGCCTCTGAGCTGTCAGTCACGCATGCGAGCACGAATACACACACAGTTACTTTACCTCTGCTTCTTCCATGACAGCTTTCAACACTGTGACAGCGGAAGTGTTTCAAGTACTCTTGTTCGCTATCATCGCTTTCCTTTTTTAATTAATATCATATTCCAATGACCACGCTATAACTGACTGACCACAGAGTACAAATATGCACTCGTGTTCTCGTACAACAGTCAAACATACACTTATGTGTCTGTTTTCCAAAGATGCAGCAGGCAGCAGTTGTCGGATGTGCTCTGATACGCCTTTAGGTGTAGGGTTGGCCCCACTCATCAGTCCTTGTGGCTCGAACATGGCTGTACATTGAAGTGCTGAAAACAAGTCAGCCATAAATTAGAAAGATTTATCTGTATCCTCCTACTGTACATCCTGAACCCCGACACCTCCCAGAGATAGAGTGAAACCGATCTCCTGACCTTTCACCAATTTTATTCCACTGTTTTCTTTGATCCTGCAGGGTATCCATTTCCGACTGGCTAAGCACTGCGAGGGTGGAAGGGTATTCGCCATGCTGAGGGTATGGAACAGGGAACGAGGAGTCCACACGGGCTGTGTATGACGCTAATAGAAGCACTGATCACAGGATTTTACTAATATTTTGTAAGCTGCAATATGTAACATATTTTTTGGTAAACAGAGTAGAGAAAATACATCCATTCTCCACTTACAGCATGAAAACCACTGACAGGTGAAGTCAGTGTTCTGCTGGGAAACATTGGGTCCTTATATAACTTGTGTCATTTCTTGTTTGTTTTTAGTTTTTACTGATGTCCCTACAATTTTTGCACAATTCCCTTTGCTGCTGTAACACTGCAAATTCAGCCACTATGGTATTAATAGAGGACTATCTCATCCTATCGTTCATATGGATGTTACCATGACACGTACGTAACGCTCCTATTACCTTCAGATTTACTGACATCTTTTATCCTTGGGTTCAATTTGACCCCAGCAATTTAAGCCTCCAGAAAATATCATAATTAAAATTGTCACCCAAGTTTATGTGTAAATAGCCTTTAAATAAAACTGAAAAAATATGTCAATGACTTATTTAGAGATGTTAAACATTGAATGGGGCCAAGTTGACCCCAAAGATAACAGGAGGGTTAAAATATGCCTTTCTGCACAATGAGTACTTTTACTTTTGTACTTTAACTTGAGTACATTTGTCAATGCCACACTTTCACTTCTGCCCCCCCCCCCCCCCACACACACACACACACACACACACACACCTACACACACACACACACACACAAGTTGAACACTTACCCCTGCTCTTTCAGAATGTCAAAAGAAAAAATACATAACCCTTGCCATTTTATGGCCCTCTGTGCCCTCTAATATTTACTTTGATTTACTTTTTTTAGTGTCTCATAGTGTTCTGTGCCTAAAGGGCAGCCACAAACCAAAGTCAAGAAGATCTGAAGACACTGATGCCCACAACTATTTTAGCTGATAACATAACAAAAATAGCAGTACATATCATTTCTCTAAGAAGCCATTCACAAATCTCTTATTTTTAGAGTCAAAATGATTCACATTTTTTGTGCTATTGGTGCTTTGGGTTCCAACATAACAGATTACTCTGATGACAGTCACATTTATTCATAAATTTCTCACATTTCCCTAGGATACACATTCTTCAGGGTTCAGCCAGATGGGATAGTGAGAAGCTTAACCATCTGTAGCACCTCAAGGGCAACAAAGACTTCACTGGAAACAGGACGTGTGCATGTGACCTGTACGGATGAAGAGTTGGTCTCGGGGGAAGATTAAGCTTCTCGGATGTGGTTTTTAAAGGCTGAGTTTTGATTTAGTGTGCTGCACTGTACCTCAAACAGACCACGAGCCACGGGAAAGATCCTCCTGACCACCTGCAAGGCCTGGCTGGGGTCGGACAAGAAGGGCAACCAGCAGAGGGCAAAAGTCGCCAACACTGTCGCAGCAATTCTCACCAGCAGGAAAAGCCTACATGACGAGAGACAAGCGTTATCTCTTAGTGTGGTAGGAAAAGAGACACCGTAAATAAGCAGTTTCTCACAGAACGATTGAACCATTTTCTCCAACCCCCATTTTCCCAAAATAAAAACATTGACATTAGCACATAGCTTGGGTATGTCTATGTCTACTCAGATTCCTCAAACAATTAGTACATACTGTCTGCAAGTCCTAAATTTGGGATTTGACCCCTGCGCTGAGGAATGCAGTGAAAGCCATGCATCAGCTGAAAGTCTTCAGTGTAGGTCAGGCTATCTTGTCAGCTGTAACTGTGAAGCTGCTGGTTAAGTTGCACACACAGGCATAGCTGAGGAGTTTGGGCATGGCGAGAGTGTCATCTGGACATATCTTCCCCCCGGGCCTTCTAATCCAGCTCTCCATTTGCTACTAAATGCCCTTGGTACATTGTTACTAGATAAACAGACACTGGACACACTAGTAACAGCATCCAATCTGATTACCTCAGTCACACTGTGACTCTCCTGAGGACACGACTCTCATATACACTGGTGTCTAGTGCTGGGGGCATTCAGTTCTATGCACAGTGACAGAACTGTTAAATAATCAGGATTTCACGCACATTATTATATATCCTCTCATTCTTTGAGGTTTTTTTTTGGCTGGTGCTCTGTTTGGGACATTTAGTATTAAATTGTAGCTACTGCTGTTGCTTCTACTCTCTTGTTTTTTGACATCTTTGACATTTTTAGTTCTTTGGCCACACTGTTCAGACAAGAGTCTGAAGACGTGCTAGTGATTCTGTGCGGCCGCGCTTTGACGTAAATGCTACAGTGAGCAGGCTAACATGCCCACCGATGTTTTGTTTTGTAAGTAACGTTGATTATTTACACCATCTTAGTTTGGCATAGTCCCATTTCAACATTTGCTAATTGGCTATAAACAGAAAGTAAAAGAAGCTGAGACTAATGAAAATGTCCCAAGCATGTAGACATAATCTTAATTGGACACATAATTTGGCCCAATCACGACACCAGATTAAAGGGTAAGAAATCACCAAAGTTATTACAATCCATCCTGAGAACGACAGGAACATCTGTCTCCACGTTTCACGGCAAACAATCAAACGCATCATAGAGAGAGAGAGAAAGAAATACAAAAAAACTAAAGTAATGATGCTCACCCTCGCCCCATCAGGCCGACTTTGATGCACTTCCCCAGCAGGTAACAGAAGAAGGGCAGAGCGTGGTACAGCTCCATCTGTTTGTAGTTGAGCGCCAGGGAGAAGGCCATGGAGCCCGAGACATCCCAGCCCAGACCCAGAGCCAGAATCCCCCACAAAGCAAATCCCAGGCTCACGCCATTGTACCTGACACCGTTAAGGTTAATACTGGACTAGAGAGGTCAGGTTTGTTTTTTGTGGATGTAAACAACGCAATGCTGCTGATGTAGGACAAGCAATCTAGAAAACAGCAGCTGATCGGGGTCAGCTCAGTTTGCATGCTTAGTGTATACAGTTTTCATTGTTGTGTTTGTCTGAATAACAAGAGCTTGGGCGACTGGTGCAAAAAGCAAACATTTCATGAGTTTTTAAAATCATTATAAGACCAAATTACAGGGCACTGCATAAATTAAATAACTGTGTCCCACGTCAACTAGTGTTTCTTTCCATTGAACTTACAGATAAAGGGGCATTTTCATGAACATCAAAGTGACGTGATGCGTAAAAATTCCACATACAATATCTTAAAGCTGTAAACAGTCATATGATATTGCTGTGAGGTCACAAATACAAATATTAGCTTTAGAAAAGCTACGTTGTCACATTTCTCTTTCAAATGTGCTACTTAGTAGACAGCTGTTTTGTGATACACATAAGTAAAATCACAAAAGTTACATTTTCATCTCCACAAATTCAATTCAAAAAAGTTGCTAAAAAGGCTGTAGGAAAATGTACGTATTATAATACACAGCGAGACTATACTAAAGCTGGCCCTGTAAAATCAGGCTGCAACTTTGTAGGTGAGTATTAGATAATACAATTCATTTTTATCAAAGCAAAGTCAATAATGATGAAATTAACTTTTATACAAAGGATACTGGAAATGGCCATAGTCAATGAGAATAAGTCCTGGGTAGAGTAGAAAGCACAACAGAGTGGAAACCTAGAGGGAAAACGGGAAAGAAACTTTTGACTTGTCATAGAATAAATAGCACAGATGGAGTATTAATGATGGCTCTGTTCCAATAAGTGCCCTGAGAATCCTCTCCAGTAGGCCACTATGTATTTTAAACCCTGAAACTAGATCACTTAGATGGAATAAAGCACTTATTATTATTATTATTGTTATTATTATTATTACATCTAAGCTTTTCCTGCTTTCATATGTCAGAATCAGTGCTCTGAAAAGGGTCTATTACAGCTGAATGTTATCATTTATATACAGAACTATACCAGAACTACACATGTCATAACACATAAAAGAACAATCTTATTAAAATAGTCAAAGGAAGTGAGAAGATAATGCTAAAAACATTTCTTTTAAAAACTCATTCAACATTAGATGACAAAGGGCGTTGCATGCTGGGATACCCTCTTATCCTTTTAAAAGGCAAATCTTGTTTTACTATTTGATGATGTAAGACACAGTCAAAACATTAAAAACGATCCCTCCAAATTGATTCTACTGTAAATGTATGTAGACCCATTGAAATGTAATAACTTCTTGGAAATGTAATAACATCATATTATCATATTATATTGCAATAATGACTCCATAATTCTCCAATTTGGTGGACCAGTGCTGTAATCTGTTTTAATAAGGGTGGGTTCCCAGACTGAGAGAAAAAGAGCTGATGTGGGTCTTTAGTGGAAAACTATTAGACGTCGTGATCAGCGCGTCTCTAACCTTTTTCTTCGAGGATCCATCAGTCAGGTATAAACAGTATAAAACCACAGCAGGGATGTATACCAGCAAGTCTGCCACCAAGACTGAAACAGGAACAAATCATGTCATATCTGACCTGTATTGTAATTAATGATACATAGCAGTAGTAAGTCATTACTGTAAAAAGGTTAATGAGTTATTTTAAAAGGTTGAAGTAGATGTGGATCGTGGACGTTTTCACTTCACTCAGTTACTGTACCTGTAGTTCTCATGAAGAGTTTGTGCGTTGGACTTTCATAACCTCTGGACTTGTGGAGCTCCACCCAGTCGGGGTTTATAATCTTGGCTCTGCAGAAAAACCATATTTGATTTCGAATTGTTGATTTTAATCATGATTATTATTGTTCTAGCTGCCAAAACAGATTGAACATGGACATGGAAAACAGAATAGATTACACAAGCATATAAAACACCAACATGGCAATGCAAAACTTGCACTGACATGACCACATGGAAACTCTCTGATTCCTAAAAGTGACCTATTATTGCTCTAGTCTCAATATTTACACTGATCTATCAAGGAGTCAAATTAATATTGGCTGGTTCGTTTATCAAATCCAGCATTTTTGTGATTACTGTTGCTTTTTAAAAAAAAACAAAAAAAACAATTCTTGACCAAATTATTTTTTTAACTGCACTACTTTGACACGTCACCAGAAGCAGCCTCTCAACACCGAAGGATAAATGTTGTCTCTTTTAATTAAAAATATGGAAAACAAACAAAAATAAGAAAAAGCATTTGAACACAGTTTTGTGGTGGAGCGTGTATTAAATTTGAATTTTCACACCAAGACGACTACCAGCTCAAAATACTGGTTATCAGTCCCCTTGATTAGCAACAAAGGTTATCAGTATCTGCGATGAAAAACCCAGCAGTCGACCCCTACAACTAACTGTAACATTTCTCTTGGGCTATGTTTTTGTTCTCTGTCTCTTTCCAAAGTGAACATTGACACATCATGTAAATTATCCTCTCTAAATAATCAAAATAACTTACATATAAGCACAGATCCAGCTGTGGTAGGCGGTGAGAGGAGGGTAGTCAAGGCCCCAGTAGTTCAAGTCATTGTCAGTGGTGTTGAAGTACCTGAAAATGCACAGATATTACATATATTTATTCTAAAACAGTAGAAATGCCTGACAAATTCTTTTTTTTTTAAAACACGCCCTCATTTGGTATTTTGATGGGTAGTGGTGGACAGCCAAAATCCCTCATTGCTTTTCAATTAATTTGATATCTGATGACTGCAAAGCCCATAACTTATGGTTCACATCATTTTCATCAAACCATTCAGTGACCCCAGCATTGTCATCCTGGTTAAGACCACTCCCATCAGGTTTAAAATGTTTCATCACAGGATAAAGGTGATCACTAGGGCTAAACGATGTGCAAAAAAAACACATTTTTAAAATCCCCCTGTGATAATTTTTGACAGATATTACAATATGATTCACAATTTTAGTAGGACTGGTAAGTTTTGCATTTCTTTTCTACTTAAATGTATTTATTTTTTTAAAGGTAGTGTGATTTTTGCTGCAGGCCCTACCAAACAAGCATGTGGAGAATTGATTTTATTTTTGATTTTATTTTTTATAAAATGTTGTGACACATTTCAGCTTTATCCAAAAACAAATGCAACTCCTGGAATATGGATATTGCGCTTGGCCTTACTGCAATGCTGATAATATTCTGATCGAGCCCCAGAGATCACCCAGAACTACTTTGTACTGATTTGTAGCAACACTTCCCTCTAAGGGGGCAAGTGGACCCAAACCATGGCTGCAAAACAGGATTCCCTCACTGTAGGGGTCAAGTTTTTTTCTTTGATTTGTTACCTATTCGTACTTTGAAAAAAAAATGCCACTGCTTCTATTGACAATTTTGTCTTTACTGACATCTTCTTATGTCACATTTACTTGCATTCTTTAGTATCTGAACCAGAGAACTTGAGCCTAGCACTACTAGCCTTCCCAGTGGTGTGATTTTCTCAGATTAGGGATTTACAATAAGAAGTTAACAGCAGAACCATTGCAGACTGACCATTCCTGAAGAGGGAGGTTGTAGGTCACTTCTTGCCAGTGCCTTTGGGCTTCATAGTCGCCAAACATGGGAGGTTTCCCCGCCCCTGGAGGAAAAACATTCAGCTGTCAGTCTCAAGAATGTGAAGCTAGCTACGTCCAGGAATGACACCAAGACGCCACCAGAGCCGCGCTGAGCAGCTCTCAAGCCAGCGAGTGGATGCTCAGAGGCAGACAATGACACCCTGATACATGTAAAACAACTTCCTATCAGCAGTTTGTAGGAAATCTGGTGAGCTCCACTGAGACAAGCAGCACACCAGACGCTCAGTGTAGCATGTCAGCGTTGAGCTCCACACGCTTCCTACCTGAATATGAATTCAGCGACACTCCCCATCTCACTACAACGCCGAGTAAAACGCAAATTGACACGAGACTCCACGTCTGCATGACTGACCGGTAAAAACTAGCTTTTGGGATGGAAAAAAAACCGATAGAAATGGGTTCATTCAAACACTTTTTTTACATTTCCTGTATACGTCACCCACAAGGCTTCGTTTCGCCTGCTCATTGGTCACTGGATTATGACGTTACCACCGAGAAAGGCATGAGGCGTTTGTGACCGCTGCGGAGAAAAGGACGTTTTTAATTTTTATCGAACAGTTGCTCAAATTATAAGGCGATATAAACGTTATCAAACTGTTAAGTTACAGATAGTCCAAGAGGTAGTTTTAGACTCACTTCAGAGATGTCAGTGTATCACCATGATCTGTTTTTTGTTTGTTTTTATAGTTACAACTTGTATCAAGTGGAAGAATCAAGCTCCCTAATTTCCTTGCAACTCGGAACGCAGCACTGATTGAGATTAGATTTATGATAAATTGATTGATATTATCTATTATTAACGGTCTGTTTCTTCAATATTGTCACATTTTCCTACATTCTATGTTGCATTTACATATTTTTGTTGCTTTTTTTTATTTAGTTGATATATGAACATTACTAAATATACTCAGCATAGCAAAATTGTTGACAACCTCATACAGACCATGGAACAAAACAGAAAAAACAGTCAGTGTCAAGACAATTAACCTTTTTTATTGTTGCTTGTAAATTTCTTCTGTGTCTTGTTTCCTTAGTCATCATGTCAGGATTATCAATCAGTCAACTTAAGCAATAAAAATAACTTAGCTCTATTACTACAGCATCATGTTTCTACATTTATAGCTCTGTATATGTTAGACATCTTTTAAGCAATTCTAGGTGTAAATATAACTATTCAAATTTTTTGAGATGCCCAAAAATTGCATCTAACATAGTAAAAGCAAAGGGATGTTATATTTGAGTACTATTTTGTACGTGGACAATGATTGTGGAGCAAATGAATGACAAATTTAACTGATCATGTCATAGCGAGTCTGACATTTTAGTGAAACTTCCCACCAGAGTTTCAGAGATCGGAAATGTTTGCGATCATTAAACAAATGCTCAGTTGTAAGTCTCCATAAACACATTAGGAGAAGCATTCATATGTTAACGTCAACTAATTTTTAGATTTATTGCAACCTACCATTAGTGGCAGCAGTGCAGAGCCAGCAGTCTAATGTGTAACTAGTTTGTTGTAACCTTCTGTACACAGATGTGGGTGAGGTTATAAAAGTCCGCCCTTGTCTTCCCCTCACAATGTAAATCTCAGCCCAGGGGCATTTTCTCCTCTGTGACCTTTTCTTCTGTTGACACCATCATCTTTGTTCCCAAGGTGTTGGGATTTGTTGGGTGAGACGTGTTCCTTGTGGTTCTGGCATCAATTATGCATAAATAATAATAACCTCGGACAACTGCTGATTTGCAATGACACTTTCATTACAACAGCAGCAGCCTATAACTCACTGGTACCCATTAGTTATTAATGCCTGGCCACGCCAGCTTTACTTTGTCATTTATTGCTTCATCTCTATGCCTTTTTAAATATTCAGTAACTGCTGTACCTACATTTACTGTCTGTAATCTCCGCCCAGGAGAAGGCTATAGCTTGTGGTGGAGGATGACCTAGTTATTATGAAGGCCTGGGCCTTGCTTGCCAATGTCACTGTAGTCTATCATATCTACAGTCAAGTTTGCTACAGCAACTCCGTCTTTTCTTCCATTTTGTGACATGTTTGACGCTTGACATAGGAAGAAACAAGATCGATTATTCCAAACTCTTTGGTTAAATACATATGCTTTCTCCTCCTTGGATGACTTTGAAAATCTGCAGGTAATATAATTTATTAATTGTGAAGACGAAGAAGAAGATTCCTAATTGCACGAATTAATTGTAAATATTCATAGGCACTCAGCTCTGCCTGAGGCTCAAAGCCCAAACTCCTCTATTTCAGAGGACTCTGGTGTCAAAGCAGAATGTGGTTCTGATCCAGTTTGCTTCAGTGACACTTAAGATGCCTTTCCTAGATCCAAAGATCACAATTCACTCCTATTCCTGGAGAATGTTATCGGCCAAATGTGTAAAATCGTGAACTGGACACGCAAACAGGGACTCGATAGCAACATTAACGCAAGTGCATCCGTCTTCATACGGAGACCTGGGAAATGTGGAGATTTGACATTTGACTTTGCAGCGTCCAGCAACTTCATTTCCTATTGATTGACAAAACACTGAAATACTCTCAAATATCAGAAGATAAAAACTATATCTGAAGGTCATTCTTGACTTCTGGAACAAGGCTTGACGAAAATGTTCAATTTAAAGTTGAGATGGAAATTAGAAATACATTTTCCTCTCTAACAACTGAACCACTCCTGTGATACAAAAGGGGTCCGATTGTTTTTGGAATTACATACGAATGGATTGATTATTCTAAACTCTGACAAGCTCTACTGCAGGTGGTTCAATCAGTGAAAATATACCCAGTAAGTCACTGTTATTAATATAGCACATTAGCACAAACAACAGACATTGACCCAAAATGCTTTCCAATTAAGATATGAGATTAACGTTCAAGTGTACCGGACGAATGTAAATACTTAGGTTAAAACCGTACAGTAGTAAAATTGTTTGCTCGGTAAATTACAACCAGCTATGTTTATGATCGTTATTTGATATAAGGTCCCAGTTCATGCTTGAGTTTTATTTTTTAAGCTAAAATTCCTACTTCACTGTCCTGGCAGCTACTATTTATCAAACACACTCAGCAGCTGCACATAAACACTGCAGGATGTAAACTGTTCATTTACTTTGATTTAAATGTGTTTTAAGTTGGACTGATAAACCAATTATGGCCTTCACTTTAAACAGTTGGAGTTTCAGTCGTTATGAGCCCTGATGGATTACATTAATTCAGTGGAGTTGTTTATGTGAGAACAGCTGAAATGCGTCTCTTTTTTTAAAAATCTGATTCCGCTGCACTCAGACTGTAGCAAAGCTGACTGCGTCCAGGCTTAAAGCACAAGTAAAACCTATAAAATTTAAAGCAAAGGTCCATCTCCTGGTCAGTGCATTTTGATTGATGATTGATTAATTACAATTCTCTAATTAATATTCCTTCTTAATCAAATTAACATATATATATATTTTTAATCTGACTGGACAATGAAAACGTTTCTCTTTTAGTTAACTGCAAACTGTTTAATGTGCATTTTGGGGGTACTTCTGAAGCTGGACACCCCTTTTCTAAAGCTTTTTTAAAAATTAAAATAACGTTCCTAGAGAACAGCACAAACACATGTGTTTAATACACATAAATCCAAATGAGAAAGACAATATAATCAATATAAAGTTAGAATAAAGGGTGCTGCTGAAATGATTATATTAGAAATTGATCTCCTTCATATTTTCTGTCCACTGTAAATTTCCATCCCAAACTTTTGGAACTTAAAATCTATGTTGTGTTTTCTGCATGAATATGGGTTATATGAATGTTGGGTTTTTAAAAACAGGTAAATAAACTGTGACCTCAACAGAAATGGAACTTCATACAGCTGATTAAAACATGAATGAACTGCTGTAGCTCAATCTTTTGTTTCCTCTACAGCACAAGCACCCATCTAAACATAAAGGCTACATAGTAAATAGAAATAATAATTACACAACAATTAATTCTGTGTTGCTCACTTCACATATCCAAGCTGCTTCTCTTCACTGTGAACTCTGCTTGTGATGCCACAGCCTGTTGCTTGGGACTATTATGGGATGCCTGTGGGAACCAGCACCCACACTCTGCTCCACCTGTGCACAAGCACGTGCAGCTGCATGGCTCGTTACCGCCTGCGTGCGTGCGTGCGTGCGTGTGTGTGTGGGCGCGCGCAGGCCGTTGCTTCCTTAAATGAGCGTCTCCGTCCGGTCAGGAAATTCTATTAGAGACATAATCAGAGAAAACCCTCAGCAACACAGTGCCACGGGCTTCGATCCTGCAAGAAATAACGAGTTAAAACACGCACAGTGCAGGCTGCCTCGGTGGATTTAAACAAACTGCTGCGATGATATAATTATAGATCTCCCACCCAATCAGATATGTATGTTGATTTTTTTTAGTTTTTCCCAACTGGATTTTACTGTATTTTCAGTGTTTTTCGCCTAGTTAATGTCAGGAGGGATCTGTTATATTTTGACAATTTTTTTCTAACCTTGCGCGGCTGAAACCTTAAATTAAAATCTAATTAAAATCATTCCCTAATGAATATGAACCATATCAAACCATAAAATCCTACAAATGAACATCCCTGCATGCCATAAAGCTGTGGACATATTGTCATAGCTGATGTCTGTGGATAAAATATTTCTCTCACAAAAAAAATGAGTAAATCACACATTTGTCTATTTTTAAAATAAACAATCTGGATCTTCATTCAGATGAACTCTGATGGGATAATACAACCTGCAAAGTATGTTAAAAATCAAGAGGATTACAGTGGTTGTTTGGTGGGGAGGGGAAAAAAAGGTGAAGCCTCCATCATTTCCCTAAATCTCCCTTTGATTTCTGCTCTCTCTAATGAGGAGCCCGAGGTGTCAGTGAACGCCCCCTAGCGGCCTCCGGCTGCACCGACGTGTCGTCAGGCTGCAGCATCGCCTCCGCAAAAAAAACCCTCTCACAGCGCCGAGACACCGCACAGATCCACCTCAGATCCTCTGATCCTCCACATGCGTGTAGGAAGCTTAATGTCCCTTTGTGGAGGCTGGAGGTGGATGCGCACCTAAAGCTCCACAAATCTATAAATCAGAGGAGGAAATAAGTGAAGCTGCAGACGTGTTCACTAACTGCAAATGTGACTTTTTTTTTTTTCTTTTTTTTTTTTAATGCTTTCTTTAGGAATATGTGCACCTCGAAGACACGCTCATAGAGTTGCATCTGCCAACAACCCATATTGCTTTTGCACCTTGAAATCCCAAACAATTTGCCTGGATGTGCTCTGAAGCTGAGGAATGTGGTGCATTTTTAATATTTCCGTTTTTTGTTCTTTATAAAAAATAAAAAAATAAAAAAATAGGGTCGAATCATAGGAAAAATTCCCATGCAGC